TAAACAAGCAATTCTCCAAGGAAGACATACACATGATCAATAGGCACGTGAAAAAATGTTCAATATCACTAATTATCAGAGAAATGCAAATCAAAATTACAATGAGGTATCACCTCACACCAGTCAGAATGGCCATCATTCAAAAATCCACAAATTACAAATGCTGGAGAGGGTGTGGAGAAAGGGGAACCCTCCTACACTGCTGGTGGGAATGCAGTTTGGTGCAGCCACTGTGGAAAACAGTATGGAGATTCCTCAAAAGACTAGGAATAGACTTACCACATGACCCAGGAATCCCGCTCCTGAGCATATATCCAGAAGGAACCCTACTTCAAAATGACACCTGCACCCCAATGTTCATAGCAGCACTATTTACAACAGCCAAGACATGGAAATAGCCTAAATGTCCATCAACAGATGACTGGATAAAGAAGAAGTGGTATATTTATATAATGGAATACTATTCAGCCATAAAAACTGACAACATAATGCCATTTGCAGCAACATGGATGTTCCTGGAGAATGTCATTCTAAGTGAAGTAAACCAGAAAGAGAAAGAAAAGTACCATATGAGATCGCTCATATGTGGAATCTAAAACAAACAAACAAACAAACAAAAACCATAAATACAAAACAGAAATAGACTCATAGACATAGAATACAAACTTGTGGTTACCAAGGGGGTGAGGGGTGGGAAGGGACAGACTGGGATTTCAAAATGTAGACTAGATAAACAAGATTGTACTGTGTAGCACAGGGAAATATATACAAGATCTTATGGTAGCTCACAGACAAAAAATGTGACAATGAATATATATATGTTTAGGTATAACTGAAAAATTATGCTCTATACTGGAATTTGACACAACATTGTAAAATGATTATAAATCAATAAAAAATGTTAAAAAAAAAGTTAACCTGTAAGAAGCATTATCAGTCTGGTAAGTGGAAGTGGTATGCTCTTCTTTAGATTTATATTTCTTTGGTTATTAAGAAAACGAAACAGATCTTTTGTATGTTCACCTATATTTCTTCTGTAAATTGTCTTGTCACTTTCTTTGGCTAATTCTTTTTCTATTGCAGGATTCATCTTTTTCATATTATTTAAAATTATTATTCCAAGTTTTTATTTCTCTTCTAATGTATACTTTTTTAATTAGAAAAAGGAAAAGGGAGATGGACAGAAGTCTTAAATGTCTATATAGCATTTTTACCTTATTCCCTATGATTGGTTTGTTTTCATCCTTATGCTTAAAAGGCTCTCTTCACCTCAAGATCAGAAAAGTATTGCTCTACATTTGTTTGTTTCTTCCTTTTTTAAAAATAATTATATCTTTGATACATCTGGTACTTATTTCAGTGTAAGATGTTGGGAGAAAGTCAACACTATCTTTACCAAAGAACTAACAAATTGTTTCTGTACCACTTTGAATGAATATTACTCTTCTATAATGATTAGACATATCAACCTTAACCTGTAATGAAACCTGCAATCTACTGCCTGTTTCAGACCTTTCTATTCTATCCCATTAAAATACATTTAATCACTAGAGCCACCTGGATTCAGGAGTACTCCTCAATATATTGTCATGCTGATTGACCTCAACATTTTTCTCTTTTTGTTTTTACTCTTTTGAAATATTTAATTGGTTTTGATTTTTAAATTACTACATTAACACATGCTTCTTATCACGAATTAAACAGCAGAGCATCATGTAAAGATAAAGTTAATGGCCTTCTCCTCCTCCTTCTAGTCTCACTCTCCTGAGAAAACAAGTCTTACAATTTGAGGAATAAATTTTTGTACTTTTGTCTATACTCCTATGACCAAACAATAACAATAGATAATAAAGATAATGTCTATCAAGTGCAAGGCATTGTTCTAAGCACTCTACCTGAATTATTTTATTCGCTTATTGTAACAAACATGGAGGTCGATACTATCATCATCCATAGCCAGTGAATAAACTGAGTCATGGCAAGTCTAAATAACTTGCTCAAGTCACATAGTAAGCAGTGACACTGGATTGTGACCCAAGCAGACTGGTTCCAGGGCTGGATTTATGCCTCATTCTTTGGCTTCTTCCTCTCCCCTTCCTCCTTCTCCTCTTCCTTCTCTGTTAAATCTCAGGCTTATCCTATAAATGTTGCTTGGAAACTTGCCTTCTTTCACTTAATATTATGTTCTTCTTTCTAGCTTAATACACATAGATACATCACTTTGTAGGTACATCAGCGTGTCAGCAGTGTAGTGTTGGATGGTGTAGTGTAACAGAATTTAGTAAGTCATTCTCCTTGTGTTAGACATTCAGGTTGTTCTTACTTCTTGGCCTCTACCCAGGTTTGCTGCTATTAACATTTCTGTACATACTGGTAATTTTAATTCTGGCAAATATTTTCTCAGAAGTGGCAGTGCTGTCTCTAAGTCCATAGTGATTTTATTTTAATAGGTACTACCAGATTATTTTTTGCAATGCGTATACTAATTAGTACCCCCACATAGGGTGCTTTCCCATACACCAACCTTTCACTCTTCCTTATTGAAGCTGCACCATGCATCCAGCACTGTTCCCAGCACTGGGGTGTAATGAGACACAGCAGACACTATTCCTGTCCTCAAGTGGCAAGAGCTCTGGCTCACACTGGACATCCCCCTTCTTTGTCAAGTTCCCCAAAGCACCACAACATAACACAACGGAGAGCACGCTGCTGGAAGCAATCTAAGTTGAGTTGGATGTGAGGGCAATCTGGCTGCGACATCTGTCACCCCATTGATCGCCAGGGTTGATTCGGCTGATCTGGCTGGCTAGGCGGGTGCGCCCTTCCTCCCTCGCCGCTCCATGTGCGTCCCTCCCGAAGCTGCGCGCTCGGTCGCAGAGGACGACCTTCCCAGATAGAGGAGCACCTGTTCTACGCGGTCAAGGGTGCACGAGTAGCTGCGCTCCCCGGCCAGAGCCTCCAGACAAGCTCTCAGTCTAAGTACAAGATATCTCACCTCTCGCCCTGGCCTTCCGTGATGCCGCTTGCAAAATCCTCCTTCTCTCCCAAGAGTCCTTTGTGGCGTCTCCAGGACCTCCCATCTCATGAGCCTCCAAACTTTCCAACTTTCCAAAGGAAGGATGATTTACCTTTCTCTCTGTTCTTGGCTTTCCTTTTAGATCTCACCCAGTGGACCTCCTTTCAGCAGTAAGAGCGGCAACAACAAATATTGTCCATGGTTCCTTCCCGCCCTCCCACCCTTCCTTCCTCTCTTCTTTCCTTTCTAATGAGGTAGCATTTCTTTTCAAAGAATCGTTCTTGATACATTTTAGGGCTCCAGCTCAAATTGCAATTAAAAATTTTTTTCTTATTATATCAGTTGTGTTGCCCAAAACTGCACCAGAAGCTGGTACAGGCTGGGATTTGAAACAGGGTCTCCCAAGTCTGGTCCACTTCTGTCTTCATTATCTCAGAGTGTCATGTTTACTCTGACTTGGGCTAATGGTCATATTAACTAATGATATCTAATCTAAGCTGTTCATTTAGTATCTTAGAATACAAAAAAAGATTATACTTTTCTTTTAAAAAGATGTAGATAAGCCATTTTGCTTTACTTAATCTGGTGGTGTGGTGGTGGGGGAGAGGAGTTGGGTGGAGGGAGATTTTCCCTTGTAAAGAATGGCCTTTCTAAATCGGCTGTACACAGCCTTTAAGACGCAGGTCATGTGTCCCTGTTTCTGTGAAGCCTTTTATGCTTCCACTAGCTGACTTGTTTGGCCCTCTGCGTTCTCATCTCATGTGATCCCTTCTTTTATTTTGGCCCTTGCCACAAAGTCTTAGTTACCTTTTGATTCCCCCAACCCCCATCAGATTATAGCTCCCTGAGGGCAAGGACATTTCAAAATCATCTTTGAAGTCTGGAATCTAGAGTGTCCTTGGCATGTGGTATAAACAACAACTGTCTTTTAAGTGAATGGTGGATGGTGGATGGATGGATGGATGGATGAATGGTCATCATTTTCCCGAACTACCCCATGATATTAATTTGAGATTATGAAAACAAAGCAGGTATGGCTGGAACTCTCCTTACGTGTTTATTTATTTCATCAAATAAATAATAAAGAGGTGTGTTAAAAAAGATTAGTGCACTTACAGTTCAGTGGAGGACCCAGTCAGAGGCAGTTTATTCTTTCACTGTCCTATGAACAGGAAAACACATCACCTCCATCCTACCTGAGATGCACTGTCCCGGGATCCCCAGTTTTATACAGTAACATTCAATTGAGACTTACTGATGCTTTCATTAGTGAGATTTCTCCAAGCACTGCTGATTTGGGACCTTGAAAGAAATTGGACTAAGCCTTGAAAAAAATAATGGAAGTCCTAAAAGGAGCCCTTACACAGGATGGCTTTTCTCTGCCGTGCAACGCTAGGAATTAAGTGGGCGTTAATCTCATCACTTCCAGTATTTTCAGCACTTTCAGCATTTCTATTCACATCATCTCCTCTTAGCCTCAGAGGGGCAGTGTTTCTCAGACCATAGATCCTCAAGCCAGACTGGTGGGTTTGAATCCCAGTTTCTTACCTCGGGAAAGGATTTCGCCCAGAATGATGAAGCATACAGCTTTTGGGAGGTGGCATTCACACAGAGCACAGCATCAGATGATGCCTGCAGAGCTCTTCAGGCCACTTCAACCCAGCCAGTAGAATTCACTAAATGAGCAAGTATCATTTTTGTCTTCTGAAGCTCCTATTGGTAGATGCTATTAACACCATTTCAAAGATAGAGAAAGTATGGTCCTAGGAGGTTACATGGCCGGTTCAAAGTCAAACTGGCTTTCCAGTTTCTAGGCCCCCAGGCTGGGATATTTATTTTCACCTGTACTATTGTGAGTCCCCCTCTGCAAGCATTTGTAACCTTTTTATTTTGTTGTTTGTTTGTTTACTTGTTTGTGTTTTGCTTTTCTGGAAATGACTTTTAACGTTGAGGGTGGGAACAGGAATTTACAAAACCAACACTGCCCCAGCAAAACGCCACTCTGAGATTTTGAGGCTGGCTACTACTATATTCAGCAAGAAACTCTTCTCGCTTCTAGTCTCCACCCTCCCTCCCTTCCACATACCTTGTCTAATCCTTGTGTCGTTACCAATTATCAGCCCCTTGAGGACAAGGACTGTGCCATACCCACCTTTGAATTTCACCAGGAGCTTATAATTGTGTTGTCGATCCCCAATAACTGTTTGTTATGTAAAATAAATAGCTTGCTATTGAAGAAAGAATTCATAATTTCAATATTTTCTGCTCTCAACTTGTAAGGACTCTATAGAGTGGACATGTTTATCCTAAAGTAATATTTAATGGGCTAGTACAGCAATTTCTTTATTCAGATAGCTCATGTCTGTACTATCTGAATGAAGACATTTTTCAGTTGAGATTCCTGAAAAACTAAACCGGTTTGAGGCTAATGCAAAATCCAGCTGGCATCTTGAATGATGGGCAAATTTGCATTGCTTTAGCCTTAGTATTGTCCTAAGGGAGGGAGGCCTGGTTATTTGGGTGGAGGAAGTGTGTACTCATGCTGAAAAAATAAACATATATCATAATTGCTGATGATAAGTCTTTGAATTCATGCTGCTACAAAGCCTACCATATTAAGTTATCCAGGTAGGTGAAAATAAAATTCATGCCTCAGAGTAACAGCTAGGGTTAGAATAAAGTCTATCATGTGTTCCCATCAACATTTTCATAACTAAAATTAACCTAAATTAAGATCTATACATCTACTAACGTTATAAATTTCATATCTATGAGGCTGTATTTTAACAGCTATATTTCAGTAAGGCACTACTTTTGGCTGATTTATCTCATATGTAAAATAATTTGGTCATGAAAGAAATCTTACCTATGGGCTAAAAATGCTTATTTCCTTAATTAAAACATCATGCACACATTATAACGTCCAAGTGCATCAGGACATTCTCGATAGCTGCCTTTTTGAGGGCATTTATGTCTGCAAAGATTTGCCCACTTCTTTTTACAGTCAGTGTGCTTCCCATGCAAGCTAGCAGACATCCCCTGCTGGCAGTCATCGGTTGTCGCAATTTCTCTTTAATGTTAAGTCCTACAAGCTGTTGGAAATAAATAATCATGCCTATTTCTTGGCATGAACATGTCCATTCATTCACCAAATATTCAATTTCACGTTCACCATTAGCAGATTTTCTTTGTGAGTAAAAAGGTAGCTTCCTCGTTTCCTCAACTTCAGCTGCATCCCAGCTGTGTTTATTAAACAGAGATCTCACATTGTCTGCCCTTTTGTTTTCCGTTCCATCATTTTCCCCAGCTGGCTTTCCCCCTCCCCTATATCCTAGTGCATATATCCATATTTTTACTGACAGTAGGGTTGGTTTTTTTTTTTTTTGATATCTTTCCCTGATGATAGCAGTTAACATTCCTTTAAGCGTTTACATTTCACCTCTGTTCCTCTGTTCACATTTCAACTACGTGAAATTGGGTGATTTGAAACAATTTTAGCAGCTTCTCACTCAAACATAATCCCTTACGACTTGTGATGGTTTTGAATTCTTGGCAACCATTTTCTATGCCACTTAGAGTCTCCGTAAAGGAAGGATTGTTAAGAATTACAAGCACAGAGGCAGTGCCTTAAAGAACAAAGAAGACACATTTTATTTCAAGGAAAATAAAGTGGAATTTCACAGACACTTGCCCAGTTTCCCCTGTCTCCCCAGGTAGAAATAGAATGGGGGTAGAAAACACACCCCAACATTTGAGGAGAGATGGAGTCCAGGAACTTCCCTGGGTTTGCACTTTTCCCTTAAGAATGCAAAGATGTTAACCTCCAGATGTTTCTTCCACTAGGTTTGCAATTCTATTTCTGTTTAAGCTTACCCGATTAAAGAAAATAAATCAAGTTCTCTCTCTCTTTGTATATTGCCCAAAAGTCAAGTTTAATCACAAGAAAGAACTTTGATTCATTTGTGCAAACAAGACAGATTTGCACAAATATATCTCATAGAATTTAGAAGTCATTCATCTCTCATTTTTCAGAATCAAATAACATTTCTTTAAAAGTTGTTAAACAGAAAATGGCCATTCATTTGTGAAAAGTCATACGGACAAATCTATTCCAAAAGAAAAAATTAAAATTAAGTATTAATTCCAAATTTAATCCTGCTATTTGTTTTCTTTTGTTTTACGTTTTCTAATCACAAAAAATTTATAATGCTCTTCAGCATGGTGCATTGGTTGAGACTGAAACCAGGTGACCCAGGCTCAAAACCTGGCCCTGTCACTTCTTAGGTGTTTGATTTTAGACAAATTATTCAACCTTTCCCTCCCCCCATTTCCTTTTCTGAAAATGCAGCCGATAATAACAGTACTTACCTTATAGGGTTGGTTTAGGGATTAAATCTGTTAACCTAGGTTAACATCGTAGAACAATGCCCAGCACAAAGCAATTTTCTGTCATTGTAAGCTGTCACTAGTAGTAACAGTTAAAGTATTTATCAATCTGGTGCATGGGTTACATAGATGGGAGATTAATGGACTTTGATATGAGTCAAGCTAAAGAATGATTTCTATTCTCATCCAAAAGCTAACTATGAACACTAACTATGTTTTCAGTGCTGTAAGACAGAGAGATGGATAACTTATTTATCTAGAAATTAAAACAAACTCTAGGTATATGTAGATTTACTGAATAATAGCAAATGAAGAAGGCCAAGAAATAGAGCAAATTTTTTAAAAATTGTCTTTGTGAGCTAAAAAATAATCAATGAAATTATCCTAAAGAGTGAAAGAAATGAAATAAGGACTATGTTCATAATGCTGCCATTGGTTAGTTTAATGACAGGAACAAAAGCATCACTC